TCCCTGTTTTGTGAAAAATAAAAATTCCAAATATACATAGTAACAATTCTTCGGCGAGATTTTAGTCAATGGTAATTTAATAAAGCAACAGGGAATTTAAATTGCGAAATAAATAGTCACATGATTTACGTGATGAACATTTGATCCAACAAAGAAGAAGCTTTTAAAACGTTTCTTTAACAATGGGTAAGGGTTTAATATCTTATATTTCCGTATCCATATTTGGATTTCATATTTATGTGGGAGCTAGTGTTTCGTAGATTTATTGCCAGTTCAAAAATGTTGAACACAAAGAGCCCTTTCATTTAATGAAATTAAATAAATTCAGAAAAAAGTTAATAAATTAAATAAGCGCCTTATGGGAATATTCTTTTTATTTTGTGGTTCTCTTCGCGTAATAAAACCAAATATCCTTATAAAGAAATCCACAAGAAGGAAGAAAAATGCATGGGTAGATTGTTAACCCTGAGTAAATGAGGACGAAGTATCTTGTTTCAATTAATCTCTGATTATCCGTTAACTTGGTCATCATGCTTGACTGCAAAGCAATATTTCTTGTCTATTTATTCTTTGCAGTTATAACTCTTTAAAATTAATATCACCTCGGACGATTAAAATATTGAAGCTACCATTATTCGTATAAAGCTTAAAATTGATAGGATTTTTTAGAGATTATTATAATAGTTTATTTTTTATTTTTTTTATTTAACAATATAATTTTGAATACAAATGAACATATATTTAACGCTAAATAAGCCTCATTGGTTTGTTACAAGCGTTAAGGTCTTCCGGACAGAAATGTTTTGAGCTGGCACTTTATGTTTTTTCGTGAAATACATTTAATCAAATCTGAGGGTAGTTCGTTCACCAATCTAGGATTGATGTAACTTAATCCTTTGGCGTGAATGGCGCGTTTTCGTTACCAAGTCAATTGTCAGATTGATTAGTGAGGGGACATAAACGATGACATTTTAATAAGGCTAGTATCGCCGATATACCGGTATAATGTCGTATTTACTTCCTAACAGAATGGTCGGAACACTAATCTTACATATGAAATTCTCGTGTCACAATTTTCGTTCCCATACTCTTCCGAAACGGATTGACCGATTCTCATGAAATTTTGTGAGCATATTGATTAGGTCTGTGAATCGGCAAACATCTATTTTTAATCCTGCGCAGACGGAGTCGCGGGCGACAGCTAGTATGTTATAGATTCAGAATTTCCAGCTCTATGCGAAATATTGTTTTCATCGGCCGATAAATAGGAAAAATTAACATTCATGTCTTCTGTAAAGTGGTCTGTTGTGTTCATAATTAAAACTATTTTAAATTGTTGCATAACTGCCGTTTGTATTGTCCTAGCAGCAGATCAGGAAATGGTAAATAAAACTTGTACACAATAAAACCTGTCCACTGTTCGCAAGCACGAACTGTGGTAATTTGCATTTAATATTTACCCAATTGTAACAGGAAAGGTCTGATTGTTTAAAAACCCATGGTCTTTATATTCATATTTTTTTTAATATTGTAAGAATAAGAATCTACCTATATATGCACTGCATTGTAATAAAAATATCGGTAGACAATTAAATATGGATGCATACAAAATATATCATTCTAGAATAAAATGAGATTAGTCTTAAGGCAGGCGATCTTATTTTGGCGAAATTTCATACATCAGAATATTTTTAATGTCATGTCCTTAGAAGTGGACGATAAAATAACCTTTTGCTCTTTACGATTGATAGGTCATGGTTCAGCACAAAACCTTAATATTCTCGGTTCGAGTTATTGACATTTGCTACAGCTTCCATTTATTTTTTTCCGTTTTTACAAATGTTTTATGAGGCTGTGTGTTCGCGCCGATCGTTTATTTTTTTTAGCTTAATTGACTGCCTATTAACTACAAATTGTCTGATTCTAAATATTATTCAACGGGATTTTTTCCTTTTTTTACGTTTAATATTATTCTTGCCGATACAAACGGATCTCTTTTTATAGACTTTTTGGTCATAATTTTATATTTTTTTTATTAGAATTTCTCATGTTTTATTTTCTTGTGGTTGCTAATCGTTTTTTTTCGCCCTTTATTTATTATAATTACTAGCTGTCACCCGCGAATCCGTCTGCGCGGAATTAAAAAAGACAATCAGTAGCCTAAGTGTTCTTCCAGGCTATGTTCTATATGTATGCCAAATCTCATCGTGATCCATTCAGCCGTTCTAGAGATACCTTCAAACATCCATCCATCCATCTAAATATTGGCATTCATAATATTAGTAAGGTTATTTTTTTTTTAACTTTCATTCTTTTCCAAATGTTCCTAAATTACCGCTAGTGCTTTTCTTTCCTTTATAATTATTACTTAAGGAAAATATAAAACAGATATGAGTGTGTTATTACTATGGATGGGCTATCAGTGGCCATATCATAATGTCTATAATATTTTCCTCATGGTAAAAACATAACAATATTGCATTGTCATCAAATAAACAATGCTAGAATGAACATATTGGTGAGAATATTTTTTCTCCTCATCAACGTAAGAGATACGTATTTATGTTTCCCTTGCTACTTCCAACAATTTACGATCATTACATTTAAAATCTCTATTTATTATCGTGGATAGATGTCGCTACGATTCGGATCTTTGTAATACAAATACAATAATACGAGATTCAACAGTCTTTGATTATGATAAGCTTACTGTAGTATCCTTTTGAAATATCCCTATATTCTCTTTGACAATAGATTAAAAGTAATAATACAAGACATAAGTATAACGGCGGCAGCTTCGATTTCTGAGACCAAAATCTCCGTTTATAACAAATTTCTTATCTACGTTTTGTCATAGATAACGACAGGAATGATGTTATGATGTACATTAATTTTTGTCTCAGAAACCCTCGGTTAGTAACCTGTTTCCCTTCTCATTACTTTTTCAGGTTTACATTATGCACAGGTGAACTTGCGGACGAAAGCGCAAGCGTGCCCGTGGTCTCGCCATGATGCGTAGGAGGAACAGAGGGGTTTAATGGGTATGCTTCCCATCCGGAAGAGAATCCCACATAACTACCGCGTCCCCCCCGGGGCGCAGAGTATGCATGGAGCATTCCCCTCTGAAAAAAAAGGTTTACGTTATGCATATTCAGCTTGTTAATAATAAATAAGAAAGTTTGTATATATGCGAAATGTGTTTCCTCGCGGGATTAGGTTGTTTCCTCTTACTACGATCGGCCTACTAATGGGATTTTTTTACCATTAGTTCGATTGAACGGTAGGCCGATCGGCCCAACGGGAAACACCTGTGATTCGTTATAAAATCATTACATGCACAGGAAAGAGCCCTCTTACTTCATTGATCGATGCTTCTTCTAAAATATTTAAAAGCTTGCTCCGAACGAATAATAAATATTAGACGAAGTATGTATAGTGCGATGAGTTTATCTGGGCCGGTGAGAGAAGCAATAATAAGTTTAATTCTGCCAATATATATGTAATACATGTGCACACAAAGTCACACATAACAAAAAACATAATAAGGTACCTGCGGTAAAACATAAATCTTTTAACAGTTTTTTATATTGACTTGGTGACGCTAGTGAGCCATCAAAATATAGTTTGACTTATTCGCACCGGGTCAAATAACTTTGTTTGACTATACTTTTAAGACGAGGTAATATAAGTCAACGGTAGAAAGAATTTTCGTAGTCAATAAATGATTGGCAACAGTCTTTGTTGACTGAGTGCATGCCAAATTTTTTTCCTGTTTGGACCAATGCCGGTGAGAAATGACAAGGAGACGGTTGGCGGAAAAAAATAATTTTTCATCGCATTGTTTAGACATAATTATTAGAATGGTTATTGGAATTGTATAACTAACGCTTTGTTAATCTTTGTCAATGTAAAATGTTGAAGGTATTAGGGCATAGATACTTATTTTAGCACATTCCTGTGCGTGTTAAAACGAAAATTATTTTAGCACATTCCTGTGCGTGTTAAAAGCGGTAAAATGTTTTATATTTATTTTGTATATTATAATCACAGTAATTATTATATAATATAATGTTAGTTAAGTATTCTTAACTGATTTAACAACGCGGCACAACACCGCTAATTAAGAAAATAAACATAAAAAGCGCCTGATGCTAAAAACATTTAACAATACGGAATTGTAATCTACGAGAAAGATTAGGCGTTAGCGTGCTACCAATAAATTCGCCGCAAGCCTCTGTAGTAAATCAACTCTCTTATACTTAAACTGATATCTATTTATAACTAGTTGTTGCCCGCGACTTTGGCAGTGTGGAATTGAAAAGTTGGAGTAAAACGGACAAATTTTAAAAATCCAAAACACATCAAGTGCACGAAATATGAAATATTTTTATACATACAGATATTCCTATTTTGATTAATTATAGATATGTCAGTTTTTCAGCGGCTTGGTGTTAATCGATGTCCAAAGTGTCGCTAGAGATTGCGTTGGCCATCGATAACAGTAAAACATCGATTTATCAACGCCTGTTGGAAATAATAAGAAACAAAATGTTTGCTAATATGTCTACGAAAATGAATTACACGATTTATTTTACAATTAAATATTTCTCATTATTTTAACGCGTATCGAGTATGATTTTTTAAAATTTCTAATTATAGGTTTATTGCATTCTAGATATCATAAGAGACAAAATATATGATTCTCTTTAATGCTGTTTATTCGAATCTAGTTACGTTACACAATACAAATAGCATTTAGTCCACTCAACCATTATGGAACCCACATATGGTTAAGGAAAAAATAAGAAAAACCTGAGTTGATTACTAAGGTCAATAATATACGTTTAAAGACTTATGAATTATATTTAAGAACAAATATAATAAATTGGTAAAAGTTATTTTCTTGACCTAAATATATTTGGCTTTACTTACATTAATAATGTACATTGCTTATCGCGCTTCCCGGTTACAAGCGAAATCTTTTCAGTCCTTCGCGATACTCCGTCGGGATAGGATGTGTTCCCGCCGCGCGAATTCAATTCATACGATTTAAACTTCGTCAGTGATCACGTGCATTGTAAATTTGTAGATGACATAAAAATAGTAGAAAATTATTTATAAAAATTAGTGTTTAGTAATCCCGGTTTCTTTATAATATTTTTTTTCGTGGTACGTAAGTCTGCTAAAAAGTTGGTTTTAAGGTAGTTGTAACTTTGCCGTTGTGTTTAAAAATATTCGTAAAATATTTTATACTGTTAATATTTTAAATTATTTATGCAACAGTACAAAATAAAAATTAATACACTTACGCACTCGTCTTGAGGCTAATGTTTATAAATTTTATCCTTCAATAGCTTATGTAACTTTACGCCAATGCAGGCTACATAAGTTTCGATAATATGCCGTCTTTTTAGGTCAAATTACATTAGTTTATTGTAATATTGTTTATGGCGTTATGGTGAAACTTTTTATACACGTGCTAGCCTATATAATACGGTAGCATATTTATTTCTAAATTGTAGCTTAGTTGTAATTCATAATGCATTAAAAATTATAAATAAAAAATCTTATTAATAGCTCTTGGACCTTATCTTCCTGTTAGCTAAGCTTTCCTTGTTACAGCTACTTGAAGCTAATATTTCAGTTACAGAGCCTAATAAAACATTCATAATTGCCATCTCCATTTTAGTCTAATGATAATTTACTAGTGACTTAACTAGTTCTAATCGTCATGCTAATTAGCGTGAGAATTAAATTATCTTTCACTAGCTGTCGCCCGCGACTACGTCCGCGCGGAATTAAAGTACATGTTCCACATCTGCGCTAAATTTCAACAAGATCCGTTAAGCTATTCCGGAGATACCATCGTAGAAATATCCATCCATCCATTCATCTAAACATTCGCATTTATAATATTAGTAAGATTAAATAGTTTTCAACCGTACGTTTTGACAGACGTAACACTTTACAAAAACATATCGTCATCCCTTTCATTATCTTTGTAGGAATAGAGCTAATAAATGTATCAGTAAAGGAATGGAAACCCGTAATACAACAGATGTAGTCAGACAAATTAATTTCTGTATACCAGCTAAGCTAGTAATAGAGAAAACAATTTGTAACGTACGTGTTGAAATAAATCTTAGGCACGAACAATTACTTTTATGTTTTTGCTTAACTGATTTTTCTTAAGTCATTGTAGTGGTGCTGACCTTAATTAAGGCACATAATATTTTTTTAGTCGTACTATTATGCTTTCTTACCATTTAAGCTTATCATAAAGGGGTAGGCCCATTAACTTTTTAATGCTAAAAACGATATGAAAATCTATTCAGTCTATTCAGTTTTTAACTTATTTAGATGTCGCCCGCGACTCCGTCCGCGTGAATATATAAAAAAACTTAATATATAGATAAGTTAAATAAAAAACACCTCTTTAAGGCATAAATTCGAAAAAAAAGAATAATTAGTATCCTATGTATTATACATATCGGTAAATCCGTTTTTGAGTTATAAATAGTGTAACTAACACGACTTTCTTTTATATATATATATATACTAGCGGACCCGACAGACGTTGTCCTGTCTACAGGTCTTTAATTTGAATAAATTAGTATGAAGTTAATATTTGATGAAAATTGTGAATCTAAACCATTCCCAGATCCCCTTGAACACACACAAAAAATTTCATCAAAATCGGTCCAGTCGTTTGAGAGAAGTTCAGTGACATACACACTCACAGAAGAATTATATATATAAAGATAGATTGTTTTCTTAGTTTAGACACGTAGGCATATAGGCACTTGATATTAAATTATGCTGTATGCTTGAACATATAAAATACGCACATTGTATTTCACCATAAAAGTTATTACTTTTTATATCTGAGAGGACATAACCAGAAAATATAACCCAGGGACCCAAGTTTGTTGAATAAGTCGTTTAAACCCACTTCTCTACTTAGTATAATGGGTTATGTGAATCTCTGAAAGGCCTGTTCTTTACAACGGGGACACTGTCGAGACACTTATTCAAATAAAAAAAGAAAACAGTTAAAATGAGTTAATGCAGAATGATTTAGTGCAGATTTTCAGTAGATAAAGTAATCTACTTAATATTATTAACTTTAATGTTTTTTTTTTTAATTCGACAATGTTAATTATTGCTAATGTTTTGTGACAGGATAACTGAAAACTTTTCCTCATTTTTAATTAAGTTTTTTAATACAATTAATTAGGTTGTCCTGTGACCTTAAGTTTAGGAAGCGACCGTCCTTGCCGCAACCATTTTGTTACAACGACATAAGTATGCGACACTTTTTATTTTTCTTGTCTTCTTCTGAATTTGATTGAATTACTAAAATAGTCATAGAAAAAAATATTTACATAATAGCTAGTATGAATAAGAATACGATGCATATGTTACGATGATAAAACTAAAAGTATATTTATAAAAAATATTAGTTATACCTAAAAAGTTGCTTAGAATTCGCTTAATGTCTCTGAGTGCGGCAGTAAGGTTGGAAGGGGATTTACAATTAAATCGCGTGTATAAGCGCACATTTAAATCCAATGTTAATTTAATATGAAAAAGGGTTAATTTAGGTCAAAACATTACATTTTTTCAAGCAATATTCTAAAGAATTTATTTTATGTGACGTAATTGTTTCTTATAATATAATACGAGTTTTTATTGATAATGGGGCGAGTTCGTTTGCAGGATTTACACATTTTTTTATTTGCTATTTTGCCCAAATAGAAAGTAAAAAGTGTTGTTTTAAAAATGAAAATACTTTCATAATGCTTTCATGCTAAGTTTCCATGGCATTAATGGAACCGCAGTGAACAATAATTGACAAAGAATCGATGACCTGCACTAGGTTATGCGGTTGCATGTAAACTTAGATTGCATGTATAATGAGTAACTGTATTTAGAAGGCTCGGCTGGATATAGGCTAAATATTTTCAAAATGAGTTTAATCGTTAAATAACACATTAGGAAGAAGTAAATTGGCTAAAAAGCGTTCTTACTGAGATAAATTTTGACCAAGGGACTTGATTAATAACAACATTCGACGTCTTTGAATGTTTTTGAAAAGATGAGAAATATGCTACAATTATTTATTCCTTATTTTTTGCATTAACTTATTTAAATCGGTACTTAAGTAACTTTAATGTTATAAAAGAAGACTTTAACTAAACTTGTTGAGTGAGAATAAAACTAGCATTCACATATTTCAAACGGGATCATATTGTCCTAAAATACAATGAAACTTTTTCAGCTTTCCTTAGTAAAAGTTAGCCATGTGCAAATCAGTTCTGAACCGATTCAAAACTTCAGCTGACATAAACTTATACCGTTGAGCTGCGGTTCAACAAGTAAATTGGCAGCTCCTACCTTATCACGTTGTACAATAACTTTGTGTGTTGACGAGCTGCTTAGTCACTGGCAGTTCTCAGCTCAAAACCCAAATCATAACTCAATGCTATCCAAATTGAGCTGAGCTACGAATCGGTTCATTGATCTGCTCCACACATATGAACTGTGAGTTAATCTACAGGTCCTAAATTTTTGTTGAGTTACCCATGTCTACTAAAAGTGTATAGAAGTGTATGAGATGTGTAAGAACGTGAAGGGCGTAACATGGGAGACGGAGGCGCTGATGGGCGCGGCACCGAGCAAGCCGTCGCGCTGGGATACTTTTTGTCCGCGCGCTGCGCTCTCGCATATTGGCCTGCTAGTTGCTCTCATGCTGTACACCGCCGGAGGGGGATTGGTGAGTACACATTTACACAACTAAAGACAACAGCTACAACCCTTAAGGCCGTAGTTGTGTTCTTGTTTTGTGATATAATATTATCAACTTCCGTAAACTAATCGAAGGGTTAATTTATGTTCTGTGGTCGATTTGGTACCGATTACTGACGGACCCGTTTGTCCGCTAGAAATTTGGTTAACTGAACTGCAAAACGTTAGTTATCCAGTTCTTTGTCGACGTCAAATAAAAAAAAACAAGAGTTTTAGCAATACAAATGGTTTATTTCGTGCATTTCGTAACGCACAAATTAAGACGTACGAGCTATCATAAATATATGTAGACCCAAGCGTTATATTTTATCCATACCTGGCTTGAAAAAATAAAGAACTCATTCTTGTCTTAAATTATTACGTGAAAAAATTGCGGTAAATTAATATTTGAAAGACATAACATAGTTTAAATAATAATAACTTAAAATACTTTGTGACTTCTTATCGTTCTAACTTAACTATTTGCGTATTCTTAGTAGCTGTTTATATAAACGGTAAAGTAGTTATTTTAAAAGTTAGCAAATTCGTCCTCAAACAAGTTAATTGGACTTTCTTTAATTTTTTCTTCCTCGAAAACTTCAAAGTTTGTTGTGTCTCCAGGATGTTTAACCTTCGGTATAAACGGTGGTTGAAGACGCATGTTCAAAAGTGCATCCCAGTCGATTTCTTTAAACCATTTATGATTTTTAAAATCTAACACTCCGTTTTTTAGATTACCATAACGTCTCGTAACATCGACTTGAAGAACATGCGATATAAGATCTTTCAATTCCATTGTGAAATGGCTGGGACATCGATATTTTCCTGCAACGATTTTCTCATAAATTCTCATTGGATCTGAGGCAAAAAATGGTGGATAACCAGCACTCATTTCAAAAAGCAGAACGCCCGTCGACCACCAGTCTACAGTGGCCCCATAACCCTTGCTTAAAATGATTTCGGGAGCCAAATATTCTGGAGTGCCGCACAGTGTCCAAGTTCTACCGTGGATAAGCTTACAAAAACCAAAGTCTGTTATCTTAATATATCCGTGTCGATCTATCAATATATTCTCCGGTTTTAAATCACGATAAACTAAATCTAAAGCGTGAAGATATTCTAGAGCTAAAATTACTTGAGCGCCGTAAAATTTTGACGTAGTCTCTTCGAATTTTCCCAATTTACGTAAATGAGAAAACATTTCACCTCCCGGAATAAATGGTAGAATATAATAAAGGTATACGTTGTCTTTAAAAAAGTATTTCATGTATACAACGAAGGGGAAATTGAGTCCACATAATATTTTCTTTTCATAAAAACTGTGTTCGACTTGTTTTAATTTGACAATCTTTTCTTTTTCGAGCATTTTCATAGCATAATATCTTCCGGTGGTAACATGTTTAGCCAAATAAACTATACCGAATGCTCCTGTACCTAAAACTTTATATTTCTCGAAATCAGATATTTTCGCAGTCGTTTCGGGAGTTTCGTTCCATATCTCTAGAAATTCTTTGTGAAGTTTACGCAAGTATAGCGTATATTGTTCTTGCTTCACCTGACTGTAACCTCCGCCTGAAGATATCGATGTAAGAAATCGATTGGAATCCTCTGCCATTTCCGATACTTGTTTGAACTAGTAAATACAAAATTTTAAGTTTTTTGAATGAATTAGACGAGGTGATAGAAGTCAGAAACAAAAACATTGATAGAACAAAATATGACATTTTCATAGAAGTCAATATAATTGCAATAAAGTCTTGCAACACAAGATTTATCAAACAAAAGGTTTGGCTATCTTGTGTTACCAAAGTAACTAAAACGTGGATGAAGCTGCTATTGAACTGAGAGTAATACTTTAATGAATTTATTAGTTCCCAATGATTTTCCTACTATCTTCATCTTCTTCTATCATCATTATCAGCTCACTATACATCCCCACCGTGTGCCTCGGAGCCTACCCTAAAGTTAAAGGTGATTGCTTTCTTCTATAGAAAGAAAAAAATTAAAGAACTTTACTATAATTGTATTTTAATAATAGGGTTAAAGATTTATTTAAATTTTTAATAAGTAAAGCCCGACCAAAAATGTAACAATCATGAGGGCGCCACAATCACCACTGATATTGCAACATTCTATATGTACGTCAACGAATTAGTGTCATTTAAAAATCAAATCTATTATTATACCTAAACGAATTGATAAATTACACTACGATTACAATAATAAAATACGTAGATAACTTGAAGACAATGTCAATGCCATGGGTACGATTTTATTAATTAAATTGTTGCCATTACAAGATATCAGTTGCGAGTTCCGTAGGTTTTCTGCAATAGTTTATATTTTTATGGCCACCCCATATTGATCAACTTTTGTTATCAATAAATAATATGTCAAGACAGTACGTCAAAAATGTCAATATTCGTAGGCATCGGGGTAGCTGAGTCAATGTTCGTATTTATATATTTTAACAAATATGAAACAAACAACAAAATTCATTTATAATTGGATTTTTAATGGCCAAATCGTTATTTTCATATCAAAACCACGTTGATTATTTACGTCATTTGGATACCCTTAAAGAAGATTTCGAAAATAAGTATAACGAACCAGAAAAATACAAAGGAAAGTGTGATGATTATGATATCATAAAGAATATCGGAAGTGGTGCATACGGTGAAGTGTATTTAGTAAGAAATAAAAATACTTTACATTATCATGCCATGAAAGTAGTAGAGAAAGCCGCAGGAGTCGAAACAAAGACCGTCACCAATTTAATAGCGGAGAAGCAAATTCTTCAAGCGGTCAGGTTTCCGTTCATTGTAGCCTTGGACGAGGCTTTTAAAGATAATGTTTATCTTTATTTCATCTTTCCTCTTATGTTCGGTGGAGAATTATTTGAGATTTTACAAAGCTTTGGCAGTTTTTCGGACGCTTTGGCGAAATTTTATGCAAGCCAAGTTATTTTAGCGTTAGAATATCTACATCATTGTAATATAATTCACAGAGACATAAAACCGGAAAACATTTTAATCGCATCCAACGGATACTTAAGGGTGTGTGATTTTGGAATTGCAAAAGTATGTTCCAAAAAGACGTACAGTCTTTGTGGTACACCGGAATATTTAGCACCAGAAGTAATATCCTCAAAAGCATATTCTTTCCCAGTGGACTGGTGGGCTGTAGGTATTTTAATATATGAAATGCTCTCTGGATATCCACCATTTTATGATTCACAACCGGCAAAGATATACGACAAAATATTAGAAGGTCATTACAAATGTCCGAAAACAATTAATACGGATTGTAGAAATCTTCTTAAAAGTCTTTTGCAGTTGAATCCATCAAAACGCATCGGTTCTTTCAAAAACGGTGCATTCGATATCAAGATTCATCCTTGGTTCAATGGGGTATCATGGAATTCAATACTACAGCAAAGTGTAGAACCTCCTTACATGCCGAATGTTTCACTTGAAAAGGAGTTGGATGAGTTGATGCGAACTAATCAAAATATATTAAAAAAATGTTCAAAATGCATGTTTGAATCGGAATTTTCAGATTTTTAAGATATACCAAGTTTAATCCTGTCATATTTTAACTATATGTTACCACCGCCTAAATACTCGGAATTCCTATTTTATACAGATATTTCGTCGGTGGATATGTGATCCAATTTTATGGATAGTATAGTGCATTTGTATAGCCATTATAATTTTAACATTTTATTAGAATTTTGTTTATTATGTAATTATGAAGAACGTTTTTAAATTACTTTTCATGATAATACGAGACCATGTATAATTTATATTTGGGGATATTTCTTCGAAAAATAGCCTCTTCATCGTCTATGAGCATAAGACTGAAAGATGGTTAATAACGATTTTAATATCGTTTAAGCTTTTTTATTGTTTCTGTTCGCTGTTTGCGCGGAGATTTTTGCTTATAATTTTTTTTAGTGTTATCGTTACACTTAGAATTATATACAAATAATTAGAATTTATTATGTCTTGATAATTAGGGAATATATGTATTAATCCGTAAATAAAGTAATATAGCTGGTCATTATTTGTGTCTCTTTGTTTTATTATATTTCAACTCCTTACCTTTTGAAAATCATGACGTATACAAAATGCGGTGGTTGCGGTACAGGTGGCGCTTATTAATCATTTATTAAAATAAAAAAGTGTAAGCCTTAGGGCTGATACACAAATAGCAGAAACATAATCCTTATATTAGTATGTATACATATGTGGCACCCCTATCTTAGGGTAGGCTCCAAACCCCGTATAGTATAGTGTATAGTGAGACGAGACCGAGACGTATAGTGAACTGATGATGATGATACTTATTTACATACTTATGAATGTGTTATATAAGATTTGTAGTATACCACATTTTAATTCTTTAATTTTTATATATTTTATCTACATTTAACAGTGTTTATTTCCATAATGCAATATCACAAGTATAAAAATTTGATTTATTTGTCATTGTGACAACCATTACAAATGAAAACAAATCCAAAGCTATGACAATATGACAGTACCACCTCGTAAAAATGTAGAAACCAATTTGCTTTATTCAAGTGCATTACAAGCTAATCATAAAAATTATTTGGATTATTTAAAACAAGAATTTGTTAGAACATATGAAAGTCCAGGACAGTGCGATAAATCCGCGGATGATTTTGATAAAATCAAAACATTAGGTGTCGGTGCTTACGGTACAGTATTTCTCGTAAGAGAAAAAAATACCTTTACATATCATGCAATGAAAGTATTGGAAAAAGCTGAGATTGTCCAAAACAATACCATTAAACAGGTGCACCGTGAAAAAAGAATTTTACAATGCATAAATTTTGCGTTCTTAATCTCTTTAGACTATTGCTGTAAAGATAATGTCTACGTTTATTTAATATTGCCATTTGAAACGGGAGGTGAATTGTTTACTATAATAAAAAAGCTAGGAGCTTTGTCGGAACCATTAGCACAGTTTTACGCCGCACAAGTTGTCTTAGCAATTGAATACCTTCACAACTGTGGTGTTATACATAGAGATTTGAAACCAGAAAACATTTTGCTGTCTGAAAGTGGATATATAAAACTTTGCGATTTTGGTTTTTGTAAAGTAATTAAAAACCGAACGTGGACTTTATGCGGTACACCTGAATATCTGGCTCCTGAGATTATTCTATCAAAAGGATATTCATTTCCCGTCGATTGGTGGGCACTCGGTATTCTTATATTCGAAATGATTGCTGGCCATCCACCTTTCTACAGTTCTCATACAATAAATCTTTATGAAAAAATACTTGAAGCTCGATTTAAGACACCAGATTGTATGACGCCTAATTGCAAATCTCTTGTGAAAAATTTGATACTTCTTGATCCAATGAAACGATTTGGTTCCTTGAAATCGGGAGTATTTGATATAAAGCATCACATATGGTTCAGTGAAGTAGACTGGGTTGATATTTTACATCAAAAAATTGTACCACCGTATAGACCTGTTTGTAAAGGATTTGGTGAATCGATAACGAATTTGGAAACGACTTCTGTAAAATTGAAGAAAGCACCTGTTTGTTTGTTTGAAAAAGAATTTGAAAATTTTTAATATACCAACACTGAAACGATACAACTACAGCTGTAAAGATAAATTATTAAATATTTATAACATATATTCTTGTCATATTATTTGAATTGGTGCATTGAACTTTGAAACTTATGAAAGTCTTCACTGTAAAAGGTTGTACATATCAATAATGTTGTAAAATAATTTATTTATAAATTAAGTAATTGATCTTCTTGTACACAGGTTTTCCGTGCTTTGGAGTTTCCAGCTGAAGTTGCTAAGCAGGAATATCACAGAGATCGATTGCTCTCGGAAAGATGGAATCTTATACGTGTTGTTTCCGATTACGGAATGAATGGAACAGAATTTGTCAGCATGGAAAAATTAATCAGTGATCAATTGGCAATTTATGAAAAGGTACGTTAAGACAAAAGAACATTATTTTATTGAATAGTTTTAACTTCTTACGTCCAACCAATTGTTAGAATAAAATTGTCAATAGTACCTTCTAATCTTGGACTTTATTCCTAAAACTTATGGTATACTACTAAAAAGTTGTACTTGCTGGTTTGGCATTTTTGCGTTTTGCGTTAATTCGTTGAGGATTAATCAATATTGTGATAAATTTTAGATATTAGAAGAAGCTTCATCTAGCGGCCTGTCATTAGAGGTGGAGAAGAAGTTTCCACCTTCTGAAGAAAGGTGGAGTATACTACAGGCTGTTTTCTTCTCGTCCACGGTGCTCACCACTATAGGTGTGTAAGATCATGTAAGCATACCAGTGCATTTACATTATGTTGGTATTTTTGTATATTTCATTTGAATTTTTTTATGTATATTCGAGTTTTTGTGAATTGCATCTCCGTCGCCGTAAATTTATCTCAGTATAAATAAAAGTGTAAATAGGTGATTGCAGTCACTCAATTCGCATTGCAGTCCTCTTCTCTAACTAATTATCCAATTTTTATTTAATTGTTTTACAAAATAAACTTGTACTATTTCTATCAAATTAAAAGGCTGTTATTGTGAACTTGTTTTGAGATACTCAAACAAATTTTTATTTTAGGATACGGCAATATTGTACCTGAAACGTTTTGGGGCAGATTATTTTGCATAGCTTATGCTCTTATTGGGATACCGCTAACGCTCACAGTGATCGCGGATTTGGGAAGAGTTTTCGCCACAGTTTTGTCTGTTGCTGCTAAACAGTTACCCGCATTGCCGAGTAAGTGAATTTAAAAGACTTAACTAATTTTGAAAAGTAAGATATTATTTGATTTAAATTCTTCTCCGTAGTATTAAAGGGGCACAATGAAAAGGGCTTTTTTAATTTTTCTTTCCAATAACAAGTGTTTGTTATTTTAAGTAGCTTGTTTGGGTTCAGAATGTTGCAGCCGCGTATCTGAGGTTAACCCTGCGAGCCAGCGCTCGCTGTACGCGCTGTGGGCGGTCTGCTTCCTCTTCGTCTACCTGTCAGCTGGCGCAGCGTTGTTCAAAATGTGGGAGGATGACTGGACATTCTACGATGGTTTCTACTTTTGTTTTATTACTATGACCACCATCGGATTCGGTGATCTCGTTCCAAGTAAGTTTATAAAACGATTATCCTTATTATTTTAATGTTTGACATTGCAGTAAAAGTTTGCGAATGCGACGCAACCATTGAATATTTTTACGGAGTGATGTAACTCCCTCTACCCGCATGCGCCCATCATTTTTGGCAATAGTTCTCGGTTCTTTGCGACGAACCAGAACACCGCAGTGACGTCACCGATCTCAAACCACTTGTTATAGCGCACCTGTATTATAGTGTCATCCTTTCCTCTTTCTACAACGCGACGTTCGACGTGTCCCAGACGATTAGCTAATTTTGTGTCTATTATTCTTGCTTATATTGACGCGATTTCTTTTTTTCTAGAGAGACCAAAGTACATGTTGTTGTGTACTCTATACATATTAATCGGGTTGGCACTGACGTCTACGATAATCGAACTGGTGCGGCGGCAGTACGCCAGGTCCTGGCAGCAGCTGCGCGCGCTCTCCGGTCCGCTCGCCGACACGCTGCGACGCCTGGGCGACGCGGGCCGCGGCGTCGACGTGTCTGCACTACACAACGATCTCCGTAAAGTTCTCACTATTGTAAGTTGAATTTTGCATATTTTTATTAGCTCTCCGTAAGTAGGACACTCCGCATATAAATTGGTGCAGTTCGAAAGTTTTATACTAAATTTTAGTAGAAATCTTATGTCTCAACTGTGTTTTAGTCGATTTGGTCCAGTTCGTATTGGAAATTGAGTTTAACCTGTTCATAGGTTTTATTCACTTTTTCGTTAACATCGCATAGGAGACACCAGTATTATGCGATTTTTAAGGAAATAACATGAACTGGTATTATTTGGAGTAATAATTACTATTTCATAAATTCTCACGTTGACTATAATACACTTATTACTTAACAATATATTAATACTTTTACTTTAAATTTATTAGAGGTATTTTTTAAAATTGTCCTTATTTTAATATATGAATGATTGCACTTGCCGCTTATTTGTTGACTTTTTAAAATATATTTAAACCTCGTACTTATGGTGATACCAACTCCTAATGTTATGTTCAAATAGAATTATTGTAAGCGTTAGTGTGGTCACGCATTACCGACGAATCGATTGTATTGACAGATACCATCTCAGTTTAGTTCGCGGACGAATAAAAACGTCGAAACGAACGTACTATTTATTCGTTGCTTCGTACGAGTACAAACCGAGCGAAATTCTGTTCCAATGTAAATAAAATACCGATATTGTGTTTTGTAATAGACGTCCGTGGCCTTGTTCGATCTGATTGAAAGGTATTCGTGTTGATTTAAATGTGTAGGATATATATCTTAATTGACACTGATACGTGCTCTGTTTTATTTAATCCTTACGTAAAGGGTAAGCTCACGGTTTATACGTAAATATATAAACTTTTTTTTAGGTACATAGTACAAGCTTATCTTAATTTCAATTCGACTATTAGGAAATAATAATCTTAGTTTTTTTGGCTTAAAAAACTCATTGATTGGTTAATGGTAAATTTATATTTATATTTTAATTGTGTCTCTTTATATTATTAAAAATACATAATAATGCGCGTACATTATGTATTTGCGTTACTTAAAACGAAAAATCAATTTTAAAAATTTTTCGTCTGTCTATTCTGAAGTCCGTGTTTGTTCCGGGTAATCTCCGAACCTATATTTTCGAGACTCACTGGAAGCTGATGTTTGTGGAAGTAACATGGGCCTTTTTCCTGCGCTTAGAAGTCGCGGGCAATCGCTTTTTTGTCACATCGTAAACACAAACGTCTCTTACAGAATATAATTGTTTATTTTGTTGTGCTATGCTCAGGATCGAGGTCATCGAGTGCCGATGCGGCAACAGCCACCCTTTTAGTTTTAGTACCCTATAAACCGTTCGCAACAGCTCTATTATGTTTGGGATAAAACAACCGTTCTTTTTATACCGCTCAAGTTCCATTGAACATTTTTAGAACTACTATACTTTAAAGAACCAATATGCCCAATATAACGAACATGTTTCGGTTTGACAATTTATACTTTTGAAGATCTATTTTATTATAGTATTTTTATTATTTAAGATTCTATTATATATATTATTATCTTGTTTGTTCTTTTTAATGAGATTAAATGAGATAACTGTTGAAATGTCTTACAAAATACAGTAAAAGGATGTTTTATAGTCAAATAATTATTGTATTTTGATATTAACTTTCATATAAAACACTTTTATCTACGTTCATGTTACAAACATTTCAGAAAGACAGCAGTAACAAGACGCACGTTGGGACGAGGGTATGTTGGTACAGATATGCTTTTAAAGGTTTTTAAGGAAAACGCTAGCTAAAAAGCTTGCGCCTTTCAAGCCAAATAAGCTATTCGCTACCTTATTTGCGACAATAACCAGCTTTTAAAAGAGGTTTTAAATTTTATTGAACTTGAGCTGTCATTCCAAAATACAAACTTTTTTAATTACCTTTTAGACTTTATTTATTATTAGGTGGGGACAATTAAAGGTGAGTTTTTCTCTGAAATTTCCTTCGCAAAGACTACTTAAAAATCTAGGTACTGAATTATGACAATTTCTATAACGTTTTGATATAATTGTATTTAAAACTAAAAATACTGCTTTAATTTTTTTTTCAGCAAGCACTATGTACTGGTAAATATAGATGTAAAGTTTACATTTAAAAATATAGATTTTCTCTTTAATTATTAATTTTTGTAACCTCCTTGGTAGGCATAAATTCTCCGCACATTTATGGCTCTTATTTTTTTTAAAGCGTACATACTTAAGCCAACTATTAAATTACTCACACAAAGGTAACTTAGATTTATAGTTGCTTATATGCACGGTACGTAGAATAAAAGAAATAAAATAAACTCTAGACAAATAAATATTTTAAAATATCGTAGTTCGTCTAAATCGTTAAATTTTGATACAATGAGATAAGCTACGAGTCGAATTTTACGGTGTATATTTATAAGTTTCTGATCCGTTGGTTGTAAAATCGATCCATTATAAAAGTGCGTCATAGTCACGTTGGCCTTCCTGAGATCTCTAAACACTACGTCACTGTGTCTCAAGAAATATATATGACTGCCTATTCGAAATTGTCTACTTGAAGTGGTGTCATACCTTGTATTTAAATTTCAAAGAGACTTAACGAGGTCATAATTTATATTCACTTATTTTGACCATGGAACCCCCACCTTAAATGTATATTCACATCCGTATGTAATTCTGATTTGATAGATTTTTTTATATCATAAGGTGGCAAACGAGTGAGCGGCCAACTGAAATCGCTGAAATAGCGAAGTGACCGTTGCCCATAGACTTACGCAATTGCATATGCGCTGCCTACCTTTAATCTACGGAGGAGATGCACAGAAAGAAAATATTTCCCCTTTCCATGCATCCTCTCATCCGGAAAGACTACTTCCACTTCCCATCCTTTCCTTATAAGAAAAAGGATGGGAAGGGAAAGAGGAATAAAATTGCTTTACCTTAACCGCATTTACTAAGATACATTTGAAGGTTAAAAATGAATTATATAATTCCACTAGAATGCAAATACGTAAATACACTGGAGTTATCAATCAACTAAATTTATGGTCCATTCTAAGAATGCTTATTGCAAGTAATTTACGCACAAGACCATTTATCTTTAGCTGGCCTTTTCATCTATTAATTTTATTCTCTATGGTAAGTTAATTCGTCAGCAAACAGTTTTGCTTACATTTCATATGTAAATATAGCGTTATGCAAATTGCGTCTTAATTTATCAGAGAAATAATAGCTTTATTTAAATATATAGAAAATATATAAATAAATTATTAGAAATTATGTAAATTGCTATATATTCTGATGATTAAATTAGACAAAACTATAAAAGAATATTAGTATAATATGAAGGATAAAAAAGTAAATGCGCTTCAGTCCAGTTCTTTTTTTTACCTAGCCATACCAAATTTTTGCTTGTTAGTATGCTACAATTTTGTATGCGTATGTAAAAAAATAAAAATTTGGATTCAAGTGTGTTTGCTTTTATATATCTCATATATTTTTTGTTTAAAACTTGTTGGCTGGCGTACTCAATTACGATCACTTTTTGTTATATTAAAAAAAAATGTTTTATTACTATGTTGAAATTCCGTCCATATTACATTTTTTTTTTTTTTACAATCAAAGTTATAATGATACAAAAATTGGAATTAATTTAGTTGTTAGAATATTTACTCACTTGAATGTATTTTGTTATAGGTGACCATGCCTAGATTAGGAAGCGGAAAAGATATGTTGGGTGAGAAGAGACAGCTAGAATTGGAGGCTGCCGTGGAAGCAGTGATAAGGGACATCACCACTCCGATACAAAGCCCTCAGAAACCTCCAATCGTACAAATAGTTATTTACGAATCATCTGTCTAGCATCTACTTGCCTAAAATAATGATTACACGAAATACGCACGCTGCGTTTCTTGAGCGAATAAATCCTTCATCAAGAAACATTTCGGGAAAATAAATATACGCTTAAAAGTGCACAGATGCTAAGCGATATTTATTTAAGCGTTTGGAATTGATGCTTTCATTCCAAAACTGTTTTTCCTCGAAGAGGTAAATAAACAAGAAAAAAATCTAAAAATAAAATGTTATTGTCTTTTGTTCGTACAATTTATAGCGAGCAAAAGGACAGCGAGTACTTTGTTCGTGTATAGGCATGTAAATGAAGATTGCAAGAACGCTGTTCATATAGTATTATTAGTTTAATTAAGTACTTATGGTTGAGTTTATTTATAAGTTATTATTGATAATTCAGATGTTGGAGCCCTGCAAACTCTTTACCTGTCGTAAATAGTATGTATGATCATATGATCATGGGACCACACTCTTTTCTAATTTTGATTTGATAAGTGTATTTGTGGAAAAACTTGACTCTTCTTAATGACGGAAAGATATATTGAAACACCTCGAGCTACAATTTTTCGAGAAAAAGCAACAAATGGTTATACGGTTCAATCGAATGATTACCTCCAAAAACTTTCTATCCATTTGCTTCAAATTTAAATAAATATTCATCTGATAAATCTTAATGGTCTTTGATTGGAATCGCCCGTTCGCTTAAGACCATGTGAAAATACTTGCTTTCTTTCTTATTGCGTATATCCATGGGCAACGGTCGGTTCGCTATTCTATCAACTTTAGATGGCGCGTTCGTTTGCCACCTTATGATATAAAAAAAATTCAATTGAGCTTGTGTGAGTGTTACTCTACTTGTACACTTGTAAATGTCATCTGGTTCTAGTTACTGGTTCTAAGGTTACGATTATTTCTTACACCTGAGCTGATTGCTGCCTAGCGTTAAGGGAACGTACCCATACTACGGGACCCGTTTAGGGTCCTTAAAATACTACGGTCAGTTACAGGAACGGGGGGGGGGCGTGGCTCAGGTTTTTATCACGTAGTCGTTAGTTGTTATTTTGCATAATACTAACTTCATTAGTAATTATGTATGTATGTGCCATTTTTTTCATGTTTGTGAAATGATTAAAAATCATAATTTTGAATTACTACGTAAAAACTAGGGGGTGGCGGTTCTTGGCATGTACTACGAGTGATCACCGAGGGGTGAGAGAAAAAACTGAAAAAATAGGTCACGTAGTATGGGTATGTTCCCTAATCATTATTCAGGCATTTTGGCAGCTTTTAACTCGCTTGTCTAGAGCGGACATTTGTTTGATATTTTAAGGTTGAATTTAAAAATAAATATTTTCAATTGTTTGACAGTTTTGTGTATCACTGTGAAAGATGTTTTGAAATGAACTGTTCTTATATGTAAACAGATTATAAATTGTTTGTAAAATTAAAAAAAACTTTTTTGGTTAATCTTTTGTTATTTTTTTATATTGCTTTAAAGTTTTATAACGATGTGGTATTTAGTTAAAATCAGAAAAAATGTATATTAGAAACTTTAATATGTATTTTTTTTAAGAGCATTTTGTATATTTTATGAATAATTAATGTATTGTATTGTTATGTACGACACATAAGACATTCTTTTGTGTTATATTATTTCCATAATTTTAGATACTGTGTTTTAAGTATAAAATATATGTATTTAGTTTAATTTAAGATTTTTTTTAGTAGCCAATTGTCTAGTTAATGTATAAATTGTAGAATGTAAATATTGAATGATGCGCACATATAAATAAATTGTCGGTATGTTTGTGGTGGCAGTTGCTAACGGATCAGTTAGCTGAAGTAACTTCTAATTTGAGACGTTCGGACGTTCGTACCTAAAGAGTAAGAATGCCAGCTTCCTCGGGCGAGCTGATCCGTGGTATGCGACACAGGTACCGTGCCAATTACACAAAAAGATTGACACTTGTTTTTCAAAACTTTTTTTTAAAGCTTTTTTTTTTTATTTTTTGTTCAAAATGCTATGTACAAAATATTGGTTAAGTACTTATATTATACTAGCCGCAGCCCGCGATTCCGTCCGTGGAATTAAAAGAGTGATTTAAAATTGAGATAAAAACTACTCTATCACCCGAATTGGACCAAATTATATATGATTACAAAATTGTATGAGAATCGGTTCAGTAGTATAACATATACATTGCTTTGCGATCGCTCCCTGCGTTCACAGTGAAATGTAGACTTTGGTTTACTAAAAGAATCATGTTAAAAAACTTTTCTGCCATTTTCTACGTCTACGAAGATATCCTATAATATAAACATATTACACCAAAATACAAGTGAGATGTTTCTTCCGTCTCAATCAGCACTTCATCACAATCCTATCATATATATATATATATAATAAAGAAATGGTAATTTGGCACTGTCTAATGAAATTATTACAATACAAAACTATGCTGTATTAAAAAAGCACAAACAAATTTTTGGCACAAATCACAGTATATGTGCAAGATGACTTTATGTATGGTAAGGGTTTTTTAGTATAAGTCGAGTCGTTTCCGTTTTCCTTTTAAAAGCCTAAAAATGTATTGCTTTCGTAGGTGTTTGTTCATGACATTAATTTATTACTTTTTAGTGCATTTTGTTTAAGAATGTTTTTTTATTTGGTTTCAGTATGTTTTTTTTTATTTGCGAATGTTTTTTTATGAAGGCGTCTTTCTTTTTTTCCTAAAAAATTTGTTTATAATTGAACAACTGAACTGTTCATTTAAAACTGTAAAAAGGTATATTTTTACAGTTCGATTGGCCAAAACAAAACGAAAACGAACTTTGAATTTTGAATTGGCCGAAACGAACAAAACTGAACGTCTTTAATGGGCTTTATACTATGCAACAAATACAGGATCACGGTTGTATCTCGCCAAAAAGATTTTATATCACGAATATTATCACAAAAAGCCACATAAAGTATAATTATTTGATTAAATTTAACGTTCCTTCCATTAGAGTTGCAAAATAAAGCTAAAAAGTCAATATATTCTGTTTTTTGGCAAGTGAAGATTGTTTGTTAGCTTGAAAAATAAACATTTAAAATTAAATTTTCAACAAAGAAAATGCAAAGTGAATCATAAGCAATAAAATTCAATTCAAAACGACGTAATGTCACCGATTCGATCGTAAAACTTTCTGTAAATCTATTAGACTCACTAATAACATATTTTATAAAAAAAATTGCTTATAAAATTTGCCAGATATTTCTCAATAAATGATGTTATATCCACCATCACTTTGTATCATAAATAAAAAAATAATTGTTATGGTGCGGTTATAAAGTTGTGTTCATTATAAAAAATATTTTGCATGTTGCCAGTGTTTAGTTTTATATAAAATTAAATGTTTATTATAATGTATAAGGAAATTGTAATGTTGCTATAATAACTGTTAATTTGATTATACGCGTTTTGTTAAAACAATATTTTATTTTTTACGCCTCTCAACTTGTTATTTTGGTGCCTTAAAGTGCGCGTTAATTGGCCCACGTCGGACGTACCGCACGCACAGATTCGCTTTGTTTTTACTCGATGCGGGCGGAGCGGATGATGGGCGCAGTAAAATCATACAAACTAAAATCAGTTGCGGGCCGTGCGTGCGGTGCCTCCGGCCCTGGCTAATAGATGCGTACCTTTATACGACCACTCATTTTAATAATACGCAGTGCTTTAGATTAATGTTATTAAAAGTCAATTACACTCAACTGAGCGACGGGCCGCGTCCGCGAAATAATACCAGTACCACTCATCCTGATACAGGGCCCCCGATGGGCTCGAAACTAGTCGGTGCCGCCACCGGACGAATATACGTGAGTGTTTAGCCGCTTTTTATATCAGTTTAGTATGTGTATGTCTCACGAAAGTTTGAATGATTCAATTACACCCATTTTAAATTTAATAAAAAAAATATACTTTAGTACTGTACAAAATTTGTTCAGATGTGTTTGCGGCAGACCACTCATCCGAATATCAGTTATAAATTTTAACGTATGTATCTTTTGACAGCCGAGAATAATAAATCACTACAATAATGGTGGATTGTTTTTTTGTGAAGTGCTCGCAAAGAACATCTCAGTTGATATGGATCTATTTATAAGTGTACTATAGCGAGCGTGTTAGATGGACATTGAGCAAATATTGATTCAAATACAATTCGAAGCTCTTGACGTCTGATTGACAAGGAAGAAATGCAATTATTTATTTATATGTTCCATACGTTCATATATCCGTCAAGCTTTCAACTAGTTAGTACAATTATTATATACAACAATCTTAATTTCTTCTTTTTTTATTGTTGCTAACTTTACTATACAGTCATTAGTCATTTTAAATCAATGAGACAGAACAAAGGTAAGGAAGAGCAAGTAAAATCTGTTGCATAAATCCAGCCACTCGTTGAAACACTACGAACTTACAGAAAACAGACGTGATAAAGTATTTCGTATTTCTGATATGTGAGGCTCTGGGCGTTTCACACGTCGTCGCTTTACCATATATTTCTTATGACAATGGGATGCTTCTTGTTATTTATTAAGTGAATAGCTGTAGATCTTCCTAATATTATAAATGCGATAGTTTAGATGGATAGATGGATGTTTGTTAGGTATCTCCAGAACAGCTCCATGGATCTTGATAAATTTTGACACAGATGTAGAACATAGTCCGGAAGAACACATAGGCTACTTAATGTTTTTTTTTAATTCCTTGCGGACCGAGTGGCGGCCTAAAGCTACTCTTCAATAAATATATAATATTTAAAGTGTAAAAATTTCTCATACAATACGAGTAAATAAAATCTGTTTGCCTCGCAGGTGTAACATCAAAGCGATCGGCTTTTAAAATAAAATACAAAGTTATAAATACGACACACTCATCGAGATTGTATTTAAAGGAATGCGTAATGTTTTTTTCATTCTGTACGACATTTGTCTCCTGATTTTTTCTTTTCTGGCATCTTTGAAAAAGAAAATTAAATTAGACCGTACGTAATTTTCATTAGCCTGTTAATTATTCGCACTGTTAACTCGGGGTGCTTTATGGACTTATTCGGCACTATGGGAATATTTTTATTCTAGGAACTCAATCAATCGAATGGCAAAAAATCTCATTGGGCCGATTAATTGGTCGGCCGTTTCGACCAACTGGAAACATCCTTTAACTTGTTAATTTTTAATTCATACTGTAGATTTAGAATGCAGTGACGTAGAAATAGTAGTACTATCTCTCTATTTTGTCAGAGGAAATGAAAGGGATGACAATAATGTATTATATCACGGCAATGGACTTCTACAGTGATAATGTGTGCTACTTTATTAAGAGTGATGGCACGTGTCGCGATAAATTTCAATCAGATGTAAATGACGTTCCATTGAGTTTATTCTCATTTGGTAATAATTCCCTCATTAAATTGATTGAACAATTGAACACCATATAATAAATCTTTCTAATATTATAAATGCGAATGTTTGGATGTATGTTAGAAGATATCTTCGGTATGGCTGCATGGATCTCGCCTGGATGAACACATGGGCTACTAATTAAGTTTTTTTTTTAATTTTGCGTAGATAGAGTCGCGAGCAAACGCTAGTTATTAAATAAAGCAGAGTATATTTATTGCTATATACTTATACAAGAAACGATTAAGCTTATTAAAATAATAATTGAATATGGTATTCAAAGGTTTTGAAAATCTGTTTCAAAATTTTGATCAAATGTTGTTATTTTCACTGTTGTTACACACGTAAAAGATGTATTACACACTAACACATTCCTTTTGAGGAAAAAAATAACATTAAAAATATATATACCTATTATCTGTCGCCCGCGACTCCGTCCGCGTAGATATATAAAAAACCTTAATTAGTGTAGCCCACCCATCCATCCATCCACATCACATCCATCTAAACATTCGCATTTATAATATCAGTAAGTTAAATAGAAAGCTCTTCAAGACAG